TTTGGGTGTTGTCATCCTTTTTGTGCTGGTTTCTTCCCATCTTTGTGGATTTATCTACCTGTGGTCTTTGTAGTTGGTGACTTTCAGATGGGATCTCTGAGTGGATGTCCTTTTTGTTGATGATGAAGTTATTTCTTTCTGTTGTTTAGTTTTCCTTCTAACAGTCAGACCCCTCTGCTCTAGGACTGCTGGGGGTCCATTCCAGACTCTGCTTGCCTGGGGATCACTTGTGGCAGCTGCAGAACAGTAAGGGTTGCTGCCAGTTTCTTCTTCTGTTATCTTCGTCCCAAAGGGGTACCTGACAGACATCAGCCTGAGCTCTCGTTTATGAGGTATCTCTTTGGATATATGGGTGTCAGGGAGCTGCTTGAGGAGACAGTCTGTTCCTTATAGGAGCTCAAGTGCTGAGCTTTGGGCTCTGTTGTTCAATTCAGAGCTGCTGGGCAGGTATGTTTAAGTCTGCTGCAGTGGAATTCATAACCATCTTTTTTCCCAGGCACCCTGTCCTAAGAAAGTGGGGCTTTATTTATAAGTTCCTGACATGCTGCTGCCTTTTTTCAGAGCTGCCCTGGCCAATAAGTAGGTAGCCTAGCCACAGTCTGCCAGCAGAGGCTTTGCTGAGCTGCCATGGGTTCTGCCCAGCTGCTGTGTGAAATTCCTTGCAGTTTTGTTTACAGAGGTATGGTTAGAACTGCCTCAGTAATGGCTGTCTGCCTCTGTAATGGTAGACTGCCTCAATAATGGTGGACTGCCTCAGTAATGACAGACTGCCTCAGTAGTGATGGACTGACTTGGTAATGGTGGACACCCTTTCCCCCACAGGGCTGGACCATCCAGGGTCCAGCTGCACTTTCTGCAAAACACTCAATCCAGAGCGTTTCAGATTGCTGGTCTTTGTGGGGATGGGACCTGCTGAGTCAGATCACCTGGCTCCCTGTTTCTGCCCCCTTTCTTTCTGTTGAATGGGTGGCTCTGTGTCCCAGGAATTCCAGGCACCAGTTGAAACAGCCACCCAGATTTATGTGAGTTTTTGTGCAGAGACCCACTGTGCCAGCTGAAACAGCCCTGCTGGAAACTTATGGTGCTTTTCAGCCCAGGAATCTCCTGGTCTGCGGGCAGTAATAACTCGTTTGGAAATGTGGTGATCACTCACCCTCTGCATTGTTCTCGCTGGGAACTGCACTCCAGAGCTGTTCCTATTTGGCCATCTTGTATCCACCAGCTGCTTATTCTTTTTTCTCACAAAAAAGAGTATATATGTTTTAAAATCATGTTATTCCTCTACCAGTGACATCCAGTGGATTCCTGTGCATTAATAAAACCTGAAGTATTTAACATGCTTACCCAGTGAGCCATATTTTTCTCCTGCTTATCTCTCTGCCATCATCTCTTACTAAGTCACCAGTTTGGTCTTTGAGATGTTTCCTGAGTACCTCAAGGACTTTCTGCTTCAATCTTCAGTATTTGCCATTTCATTGTCTGACATGTACTTTTCCCAGAAAGCACAGTAGCAATTTGTATACTTCCTTCAGCCATTTACTCAAATATTATCTCCTGAAAGATGTCTTTCCTGTTGAGATCCTCACACGGTCTTTAAATACCTCTTCTCAATTTCTCTCTCCTCTTTTATCTGGCTTTAATTGATTAATTATATAGCACCTATCCTTATCTGTCATTAAACTCATGTATTTATAATTTTCTCTCCCCCATAAACTAATGTATAATAAGGCAGAGGAGTTGCTGTTTTAATAGGTTTAATACTTGCTTTGTGTACTCTAGGATAAAGATAGAGATATTTGTCTTTTCATCTTGAAGTAAATATTAAATCTGAATTATTTACTTCCTGAGATCCAGACAGTGACCTTGTTGCTCAGTTTATGCTTAAAAGATAAATTCATGATATGAAATAGTCCATAAGTCTAGACATTTGTCTATGCTCACACAAGTCACAGTGTGTAAGCGTGAAATTGTATTGTAAATATTCTATTATAAGAGTAAGTTTTAATTTACTTCAAAGGCTTTTTTTCCCAAAGTAGTGGAATAGGTACATGACAGCATTGAAATTGATACAAGTAACTTTGCATCAGAATCCTTGTGTATGCATGATGAAACCACAGAGAAAAATGTGAAGTACAATGTTTTAAGACAAAAACTACAACTTGAAAATTATAAAAACTACAAATAGAATAGTTCATATCCTGAAAAAAAAACAAAATGTATCAAAAATCTCTTCCAAGTTTTCAAACAAGTGATGAGAGTATTTCAAGATAGCACATCAGAGAAAACTATTTGAAGTTACTTTATAACTATCTCCATTCCATTTACTAGGATAGTATAAAGTTTTAAAAAGCTATTTCAGTTCCTGGAAAACTTTAAGCAAAAGTTTACTTCCAATTTGAAGTTAACTCTTTTAAAAAATTATTTTTTTTTAATTTTTGGTTTTTAAAATTTTACTTTATTATTTTAATATAGTAATTATTTTTACTAATAGTTTGTAGTAAAATATTGAACATTGAATTTTTAATTATATTAACATTATGGGCTTTTCTTAACATTTTGAAAAAATATATTATGAAACATTTAAAATGTAGTAAATATTGTTACACTGATTTTTATTTTAATTTATAAATTATGCAACTTTAAAAATAAATAGCAGATATAAGTACCAGTAGTTCCATATTACATAAAACATTTACCAAAATGCGGGTGATGGAATTTTGTTCTGATATTGCTGTCCCTACCCTGTTAATGCTGTGTTCTCAACGGTGCCTGACACTTCTCATTAAAATCAGTAGTGTGCATTCCATAGGTTACTGGGCAAAATTTGAAATGCTATGTCCAAGAAATAAGAGTAAAGCTAATTAACTAGTGAATATTAGCTTTATTGGCAAAAAGAAAACTAATAGTAGAAAGATATTTAAGTTAGTGGTAAGAAATCATTTTAGGAAGAAAAAAAATAAAAGAGGACAAGAGTGTGTTTTCTTGTCTCCTTTTTTCCACTAATATATTTTATTTACACCATGTTTTTTCCCTTCCATTTTATGTATCTTCACAGATCCTATCTGCTTTCCTATGTATCACCTCCCATTTTATCACTAAAATGGCACCTTAAATATTTCCATCACAATCATGAGGCTATCCTTACCCTGAAGTCTCAAAATAATTTTATATAAAAACGTTACTATAAATGGGATATTCTAGAAACATGGCGATCTGAAAGGCATTTCGTTTCTCTCCTGCCGTATTTAAAACAATTAGCCTCTGACTAAAATGGCTGCTGGGCATCTAGAGCAGCTCAAATTTGTTAGCTGTAAGTCTCTCTGACTATGTCAACAGAAGACATTGATGTACCTTTATAAATACGTTTCTTAAAAAGGTCCATGTTGTTTGAAAGTGTGCCTTTGTATTTTCTTTGCTTTTGTTTTCTCTGTTTTACTTTCTTAAATGTCAAGGCTAATATCAAAACTTTCTTTTTCCTTGAAAGCTAGCTGAGTTGATAGGATGTCATTTTTCTTAATGAGTAAGACTTGGAAGCTCCTCTTAGATTACAAGTCATCACTGGAAATTCAGTCCTTTCCAACTCAAAGGGAAAATTCAAACTCATCAACTTTTAGGATATTCTAAAGCTCTTCTCTTCTTTATGTTCCTACATGCTCATCCTCAGTAGGAGGGGATGCTACCTTTCATTAAGTTGCTATTTAGAGTGAAAGATGTAAAATAAATATGTCTTAATATCTAGAGTAGTAGAATAGAATATATTAATAGACTTCATCTATGGAATAGCAGAGTATAATATACTTAAAGTTAGGCCAGACTTAATTTTATTAACAGCTCTAACATTTGTAAATAATATGACCAAAGCAACTAATGTAATTTCTATGAGTATGTTTCCTCATTTATAAAAGTGACAAATAACAATATATTTCACAACTTGTAAAAATTGAATGAGAATATAAGAAAATTGTGTAAAAGTAATTAGCCTAGTGGCTGGCATATGGTAGGTGCTAAAAAAAGTGGATGATTATTTGTGATATGAATGAAGAAATAATTTATTTCTACAAGATGAAAATGCAAAACTGTGTGCCTCAAACTACAGGAAAGGTAAATTACTAAAGCATTTTATTGATGCTATTTCAGTGAAATTGTGCCAAAATGGCCTTTGATCCCTTTTATGAAATTATTTTGTGTTCTTATAACAGATTTAAAACTATATTGTAAATTAACTTCATTAATAAATCTGCTTGTACTAACTTAAAGTCATGAGTGTTATTTTGGTTTTAAAATACTTGGTGTTTACATTAGAAAAAACATTATTTCATTTGGGACCACATTTATTTTATAATAGAAAGTTTACTAAATATGATTTAAGGTACAGGACTGTTTCCTACAAATTAATGAGAAGTGAGGGCAAAGGAAGCCAGAACACCTGTGTGTGTTCTTTAGCAACTTATAGATCACAGATAATAAAGTACAGTAGACTGGAATATAGATTGTTTGAAAAAAAAACGTCAAAATGACAAAAAACCAACAAACAGACATCCTATAAATAGCCCAACTATAACTAGACCATTATCATCCACTAGCACTCTATCCTGTCTCAAATTCATGAGGTCATCATTAACTCCCACTAGCACATTATCAGTACGTAATGGTTCCACTAAACATTAAAAATCTCATTTGTTATCTTTTTTCTTCACATTTCAGTAGTTTTCCAAAACATATATATTATTGTTAAATATAGGCTTAGGCTAAAGCTGATTTTATTCTTAAATTTCCGAAAGAGATTACTAAGAGCATACTATGAGAATGTAGTTTACTGTCATTCTTTCCAAATACATAAATATGAGCTTTTTGGTTAAGATCACAGGTATGTAGGAAAAAAATGATTAATAATGTCATAAAATTTAAATAAAATCTTTTTTCTCTAGGAATAATGTTAATAGACTTTTCTGAAAATATTTAAATTATAATTTTTCTAATTTACACTGATGTATTTACAGTTGTATGCCAGGATTTACTGGAAAAAACTGTGAGAAAGTAATCGACCACTGTAGGCTACTCAGCATCAACTGTCTGAATGAAGAATGGTGTTTCAATATAATTGGAAGATTCAGAGTAAGTAATTTAATACATGGCAACATAATTTAGCATTTCAAAATACAATAGATTCAGTCAGTCTATATTTCAAATGCTCTTATTAATCTTAGCCAGAGAAATATATCCTTATATATATACTTAAATGTGACTTATGTAAAGCGTAGTAACAGGGGTTTCAACTTATAAGAATTATGTTGGAAGGGAATTAATAAATGTTCCAGGAGGTTTTTTTATTATAAAGTAAGTATAAAGCTAACTGAGTCCTGGTGATGTATACTTTAAGCTCTTTAACTGATTGAGAAATAAAATCAGTCTAATGGTTGTTAGGGTCCACAAAATATGCTTTCTTTAGTGAGTAGTGTTTGAAATTACTTTGCAAAATGTCTGTACTGTGCATGGTGGGGATACTCTACAATCTAGCAATTTTTCTTGTAGGTGTGTATATTACAGAAATTATCAGGTATATACCAAAAGAGACATACACAGGGATTTTCACTCCAAATCTGAAACTAAACCTTGTAAATAAGAGAATGGATAAATTCATCATGGTGTAGTCATGCAGTGGAATTATAAAGCTAGTTACAATGAATAGACAATAGCTATTTGTATTAATACTTACAAATATAACAATATTAAATTTTAAAATTTTATGTACAGTGCGGCAATATTAAAGTTACAAAATGTGAATATATACCTATTTCTGTAATTACATAAATATATATCAAAAGTATAAACATAAACTTGAGGATTATCCACACCAGCTTTATTTGAAAGGCAACCTACAGGGAGATAGATGGGAGAGTGAAATCAGTGAGAGTACAAAGGGGACTTTCTGTGTTTCTGCAAAGCTTTGTTTTCCAAAAAAAAAAAATCTTTTTTGACAAATAAGGCAAGAAAAATAAATATAACATGAAGGTAGGATAAATAAAAGTAGTGTGGTTTTGATAAGCATACCTCACGGCTATTTGCTGGAAAGCTATAAAAATTAAAAAGTAAAATTAACAAGTTAAATTTGGCAAAATCTCAGCATTTAATATAATTTTATAGAAACCAATAGTGCTTCTGTAATATAGCAACTAATTAAGTCATGAAACTAAAAATTAATACTATGAAAACAAAATAAATTATAATTATAATTTTATCAAAACACTTCAGAAAACACAACAAAATGTGGGCAAGATCTCTATGCTGAAAACTAAAAAAGATTACAGAGAGAAACTAAATAAGCCCAATAAATGTTATAACATATCTATGAAATGAAAGAATTAGTATTTTATGATGTCCTTTCTTACTGATATTAACAAACATTTTGTAGAAATAGGCACACTGATTATAAAATTGATATAAAACATCAAAGGACCTCAAATAGCTAAGTACTCAAAAAATAATATCAAATCTGAATGATGTTGCCCACCTGATTTCAAGAGTTACTTTCAAGCTAGAGTATCAAGGCAATGTGGTACTGGCAAGTGATGCTTAATATTGAGTGTCAGCTTTATTGGATTGAAGGATGCCAAGTGTTGATTCTATGTGTGTCTGTGAGAGTGTTGCCAAAGGAGATTGATTAACATTTGATTCAGTGGGCTGGGGAAGGCACACCCACCCTTAAACTGGGTGGACACCATCTAATCAGCTGCCAGCAAGGCCAGAACATAAAACAGACAGAAAAACGTGAATAGGCTAGACCGACTTAGCTTCCCAGCCTACAACATTCTTCTGTGCTGGAGGCTTCCTGCTCTCAAACATCAGGCTCCAAGTCCTTCAGCTTTGGAACTCAAACTGGCTTCCTTGGTCCTCAGCTTGCAGATGACCTATTGTGGTACCCTGTGATCATGTGAGTTAATATTCCTTAGTAAACTTTCCTTTTTATATACATCCGTCCCTATTAGTTCTGTCCTTTTGGAGAACCCTAACTAATACATAGCATAAGGATGAACTAGATCACAGACAGACACACACACACACACACACACACACACACACACACACACACGGAGAGTTCAGAAAGATCCACAGGGAGATGTTCTGTTGAGTTCCTACAAAAACACCAAGATAATTTAATGAACAAAGGAACAACTTTTTATCAAAACACACATGGACAAAAATGGGCTTATACCCCTTACCTCAAACTACACAATCATTAGCTTGACATGAAGCATGAACCCAAGAGTAAAAGAGAAATTTATAAAACTTCTAGAGAATAAAATGGAGGAAAAAAACCAAAGGATGATGTCTTTCATGACTATGCAGTAGACTAAATGTGGTTAGATAGGGCACAAAAGTAATTGGTTTATTGAACTTAGTTAGGTTTGAACACTTTTGTGCATCAAAAGATTTTTAAAAAGACAAAAATAACTAGTGATTACACACATAAATTTACAATAGAAGTAAATATAATCCTGGTGTGTACTGTTCACCTGAGATAATATGAAATAAAATGTCTTTATTGGAACAAAATGATGTAATAAATTGAGGGAAATACTAACCAAAAACCATGTGATGTCTATATTACTTTTATGTAAAGTAGACCTTCAGACATAAAATCAGAAATCTTAAAATTCTGATTTTTAAATTTTTTAATTAAGAAATTAATAAATCCTCTTTCATAGTGGGGTGTATTTGTTTCTTCATGCAAAACTATATTTGAGTTTTATTGTTAATCTTTAAAGGGAAAGAGCAAATAGAATTAGAAATATATATTATATATAGTTTTTAGATAAAAAGGAAATAAAAGATAAATACATCTTTTAAATGTTCAAACTATCTCAGTTTTTTTAATTAAATTTCATTTTATTTTATTTTGCTTTAAGTTTTGGGATATATGTGCAGATCACGCAGGTTTGTTACATAGGTATACGTGTGCCATGGTGGTTTGCTGCACCTATCGCCCCATCATCTAAGTTTTAAAGCCCTGTGTGCAATATGTATTTGTCCTAATGTTCTCCCTCCCCTTGCCACCGATCCCCCAACAGGCTGTAGTGTGTGATGTTCCCCTCCCTGTGTCCATGTGTTCTCATTGTTCAATTCTCACTTATGAATGAGAACATGCAGTGTTTGATTTTCTGTTACTCTGTTGGTATGCTGAAGATGATTGTTTCCAGCTTCATCCATGTCCCGGCAAAGGATATGAACTCATTCTTTTTTGGATGCATAGTATTCCATGGTGTATATGTGCCACATTTTCTTTTTCCAGTCTATAATTGATATGTATTTGGGTTGGTTCCAAGCCTCTGCTATTGAAAATACTGCTGCAGTAAACATATGTGTGCATGTGTCTTTGTAGTAGAATGATTTAAAATCCTGTGGGTGCATACCCAATAATGGCATTGCTGGGTCAAATTTTATTTCTTGTTCTAGATCCTTGAGGAATCGCCACACTGTCTTCCACAATGGTTGAACTAATTTACACTCCCACCAACAGTGTAAAAGCATTCCTATTTCTCCACATCCTCACAAGCATCTGTTATTTCCAGCCTTTTTAATAATTGCCATTTTAAGTGGCATGAGATAGTATATCATTGTGGTTTTGATATGCATTTCTCTAAAAACCAATAATGAGCTTTCTTTCATATGTTTATTGGACACATATATGACTTCTTTTGAGAATTGTCTGTTGATATACATTGTCAAGTTTTTGATGAGATCATTTGTTTCTTTTATGTAAATTTGTATAACTTCCTTGTAGATTCAAGATATCAGACCTTTGTCAAATAGATAGATTGCAAAAATTTTCTACCATTCTGTAGGTTTTCTATTCACTCTGATGATAGTTTCTTTTGCTGTGAAGAAGCTCTTCAGTTTAATTAGATCCCATTTGTGAATTTTGGCCTTTGTTGCAATTGCTTTTGGTGTTTTTGTCATGAGTCTTTGCCCAAGCCTGTGTCCTGAATGGTATTGCCTAGGTTTTCATCTAGGGATTTTATGGTTTTAGGTTTTACTTTTAAGTCCTTAATCCATCTTGAGTTAATTTTTGTATAAGGTGTAAGGAAGGGTCTAGCTTCTGTTTTCTGCATATGGCTAGCCAGTTTTCTCAGAACCATTTATTAAATAGTGAATCCTTTCCCCATTGCTTGTTTTTTTCACGTTTGTCAAAGATCAGATGCTGGTATATGTGTGGTGTTATTTTTGAGGCCTCTATTCTGTTCCATTGGTCTACATATCTGTTTTGGTACCAGTACCATGCTGTTTTGGTTACTGTAGCCTTGTAATATAGTTTGAAGTCAGGTAGCATGATTCCTTCAGCTTTGCTCTTTTTGCTTAGGATTTTCTTGGCAATATGGGCTCTTTTTGGTTTGATATGATATTTAAAGTAGTTTTTTCTTGTTTTGTGAAATGTTAGGGTCTGACAAGCAGACCCGAATCTAACAGCAGATGAATAAATTCAGACACAGATTTACAGTGAAAGAATGGGGTGGGTTGTCCAGGACATTCACCTGAAGGAGTTAATGTGTGCCAGCCTCCACTCACTGGCCTTGCTGGCCTTTATTCAGCACATATTAAATTACAAAGGCTTTTTGTCAATACTACTAGAGGGTAAAAATTAAAGCCATGTTCCCAGGTCCAAAGCTAACACTATTTGCAGGTGATAAATCTGGTCACCCTCCCTGTGAGAAAGCCATCCAACTTGTGAAAGATTAAAAATTAGTTTACAGGACCACATGAGTAAACAAGTTCTTTGGATAAACTCCCTTACATTGCTTTGTTATTTACTCTTGCTACTCACTCAAAGAGGATTAGGCTGCCTTCAGCCATAATTCTATCCTGAGGGTTTTACAAAAATTTCCAGCCTTTCAAGAAGGTCTGTGACTATTTTCTATAACTTCCTTTATAATTTCTCTTACAACTCTTCCTATCACCCTACCTGAACCTGCACATCTCCTTCTTTTCTAATTCCTCATTGAGTGTTGTTGATTAAAGATTATAGATGTATGCGGCAGCAGTTTTGTCAAGTAAGGCATTCACCACTCTTATTCCAGCTTTGTATCCTAGAATTAGTAAGTAACATAAGACAATCCTGA